GAAATCTACAAAAAAAGATACATATGCCACTTGTTATGATCTTTTGGATTTGTATATTATATTTATTTACCAGATATTTTATGCTGTCGTCCACACCTAGGCATCTAACGGTCACATGATATTCTTTCAACTTTGAATTATTTAATTATTAGAATTCGAAGATTTTTTTATTACCACTCTAAACGGCATATTCCCCCATTCTTTTTCCTCCTTCAAGTGACATTAGATCATTAAAATTTATTTTGCTGCACAATTCTTAGTATTTCACCTTTTTCACTGTAACATTTTTGTTCCTCCACTAGAATTGTAGATAGGATCATTGTAAACGACAAGATCGACGTGGTTTTGGTTAGGTTTATTCGAGGGCACCCTTAAACGAATACGACTCCTTTTTAGACATGGTAGGCCTAGCTTAGCTTGTTGATAACCCTTGAAATTACTATTTTGTTTGTCTGTGTTTTCCTTTAATTTTTCTATATTAAAAATAGAGGCCCTCCTAGTTTGACGTCGACTAATCGAAGAGTCCAACTCTTGATCTTATCGTCCTAGTCACCTCGAAATCATCCCATCAAACAAGGAAATTCTAGAAACCACTCCTACAATCTCTTATCAACAAAACCAGACGATTCTATAAGATTTTTGAAACGCCGTGTAAAATAGGAAAGAAGTAATTAATTTAAGTTTTCAATACATATCCTTTCGTATTTATTGAAAATTGGTTAACTTAAGTGTTAAAGAGTTATCAAAGCACCCAATCTTGAAGTTTTTTTGCATGTAAGTTCCATAGTTAACGAAAGAAATGGAAAATTCTCAAAAGACTGACTAATTTTCAAATTTTATCATAACCCCTTATTGTTTCAGTCTGACCAACAAAAGACGACTTCCACCGGAATTCAAAGTCAAAATGATAAACTATTTTTCAAACATAATTTTCATTTTAAGTTTTACTCTCTAATTAGACAAATAAAAAGAGATATCTCCAATATAAAAAGGGAAAATAGAGAAACGGCGTTGACCCGAGTGTCATCCGGTCCGGGTGGGTCTAGTCGATTCTCAATTTTGTTTGTTTGTCTCCATATGACCCACCTGAAAATCTGATATCATAAAGTGGGTCCCATAAACTCATCTTGCAGTTCACGCAATTTCACTTTCTTCTCTTGTCAATTCTCCAATTCCATGAATTACCACTTTTACCCTTCAAACATTCAACTAACAAAATAATTTTGTATATAAATTCAAAATTTTCTATTTTTTATTGTATATCATCCAAAAAATCACTATTACAAAACACATTTTTCGAAAAAAAAAAGAAAAAGGGCCCCCCTCAAATAGAGCCTTAAATATATCATTGTTAATTATTAATAATTGTTTTTCATAAATGATCAATAATTGTTTCTCACAAGGTCAAGGTCAACCTGAACTCTCCATTATCTTCAAATACTCGAGGCCCAATTTCGTAATGAAAGGATTACCTTGAGCATCGACGTTCTTTAGTATTGAACTTGAAGTAACCCTAATCCGTAGCTCATTCCATTCCTCAAACCTCAAGGCCCACGATCCAATCTCTTCACATGGGCACTTTCACATACTTCACATGGCTTGACATTTTGCATTTTTACCTATTCAATCTCCTAACCAGTCCACGAATGATCTAGGAGTCCTAGCCTCGAGCTTAATTTCGATAAAGTATAGGACTTGACTTTTGGGATGACCTTTGCACATCAAGCAACAATCATATCGTGGATATTCATCAATTATACAAGCGTGAAATGAACAATTATCTATGTGATAATTAAACTATTGCGTCATGATATTTCAATTTCACTGAACAAATGTGACATCATTGCCACATAATTTACTACTCACCTTCATCATGAATGCTTATTATCTTCTCCCTCCAATCCAATTGGTGTAGCACATGGTTTTATTTGAAGATGTGCATGGCTGTCATTCTTAATTTGCATGGATAAGTGGGCAACATGAGTAGTCACATCATGTCCACAATCATTGCATGCTATCGGCGCGTGGAGACCGGACACGGCAAAGGGTCAGATGCATCCGGCCACCACATGCGCCATACTGTGGTTCGTTTGCGTCTAATGACGATGTATTTCAATTTGCATGGGCACCCTGCAAGGATCCATTCCTCACGTGTGCAAAAATACAAGTTAGACTGGAAATTTTTTTTTATCAACCATACCATATGTATACTCTCTTTCACACCTTCTTTGACACTCTTTCAAATGGATCCATCAAAATCATTGATTTTGAATCTATCTATCGCATCACTGCACAGATTTCTTCCACATAAGAAGTAATGTCAAAAAAGGTGTAAAACATGCTCCTAAGGTATATCTTAGTGGTGCAAAAGATAGGAGTGAGGTAATTTCAGCCTTGCTGACAATTGCAGTGTGAGGGTTCAATTCCTGAGATATGGAATTGGACTTCTTGTTGGTACCAATGTACAGGCAAGCTCTTGTTCCCTAACCTATTGGGGCACATCCCGCAATTTACCTCTCCCACGATACTCCAAGGATGGGGCGATGAGAACCCTCAAACTTGGGGTTCAACTTTTAAAAAAAGTGTAAAACACAATGTACATCTAGCATAATTCATTAACTCTATATTAGTACTTTATTTGTCAGTAAAAAAATGATCATCTAGAGACTTGGGATGTACGGATGTTGAATAAAAGTCCTTTGCGTACTGTTAGCTCATAGTCGCAACAAAATTGGGGTTTTCCTTAAAATAATAGTTTGAGTATACCTTTTTTTTTTTGATATCCAGGTATCCCAACTTACACCAGACTAAATCCTGGACCTCCAAAACCCTTGCCCCTAGAATTTTGGAGGGGGTAAATTGCGGGTTATGCCTCAACTGGATCTAGGAGTGGGCACGATCTGATTTGGTTCGGTTCCAAAGGAAACCGATTTGAACCGAATACCAATGGGAATTTTAGAAATGGAACCATTGGTTCCGTAGCTAACTGTGGAACCGAACCGGAACCGAATCAATCGGTTTCGATCCGGTCCAGCCCGGTTCTTTATGTTAAAAATGTCGAAATAAAATGTTCACTAATAAAAACTCTAAAAATACTACCAACGTGATACTTTTAACAAAATATAGAAGAATCGAACATATTATTCAAATATTTATTTAGGTATAGATTTACAAAGTGAAAACAAAATAAAAAATTTGTATCTTATAAATGAAATTATATATTGTAAATAAATTTATTTAGGTATAAATTTACTCAATTTTCTAATTTGGCTTGAAAATCAATTAATCAAAGAATTATAAGAAGAGATAAGGAAAGAATCAAAGAGAAGAAGGAAAGTGCTGAAATCTAAAATTAAGAAAGAACCCGATTATTTTTTATTAAAGTATTGGAAATTGAGTTATATATTTTACAAAAAAATAAAAAATAAAAAATCCAATGAGAACCGTCTGGTTCCCGTGGTTCCGAACCGGATCGGAATCGATCGGTTCTTAAAAATTTGTCTCGAAATCAAATTGTTTTTTAGAATATCCGGATCGAACCGGCCGGTTCTAAGCGGTTCCGGTCAGTTCCACCAGTTCTGGAAAAAAATGCCCACTCCTAACTGGATCACAAGTTCCCCCCATTGATTGTACACTTCTGCGCACAAGAGACCCTACTCCACAGTGATTGCTCCATACCAAATTTTTGGCCGCAGGTTCCCACCAGAAATCAAACTCTTCACCCTGCTGCTGGAAGCAAGCCAATGTTGATTGATTTACCAGTTGAGCTGTGCTCCGAGGGGCAATAATTTGAGTATACCTTTATATATGGTATATGTGGTTATAAAAGAAGTTCAAAATTCAAAACCTTCTTTCCAAAATAAGACCTTCGAATATCAGAATGGAAAATAAATTGCTTATTGACAAAAAAATAAAATAAAAGCAACTATCCATAGTGTCGAAAAATTCAAAACCTTCTTTCCAAAATAAAACCTTCGAATATCAGAATGGAAAATACATTGCTTATTGACAAAAAAAATAAATAAATAAAAGCAACTGTCGATAGTGTAAAACCATGGGATAAAAAGTAGTTAGGTCTGGGATTGCACAGAGAAAACCCATTAAATTTCTACATTGTTTGAACTATTTATTCTAATCAAATTCATTAATTAAGTATTGAAAATCATAAAGCTGGTGGACTCAAATGAGTCAAACTTGTGTGCCGTTTTAGTACCTAAAAAGGCCTAACGACAAAGAGTACGGACGTTATTTGACCCAAAAGAATCTTCAAATTTACCATACAAATAGTATTTCACACCTAAACTTATAATTAGCAATTATTTAATTCCTTAGTCATGCGTTACGTGCTCTATCCTAGTTAATCGGCACACCTCAAAATTTCACTAAGCTGAATATTAACGATTTCAATGCGGCAAGTAATGGCAAGAACATTTCTCGACGCCTCTATCAGAAATATCTCATAATTGGAAACTTCTGCTTTCCAAATTAAAGTTCACTGGACCTCAAAATAAAATTTAGAGGGTGATTGATAGGCATTTTTATGTAAAAATGAATTTTAGAATGGTAAATTGATATGAAATATGTGGTTGAAAAATAAGGAAAAAAATTTGATTTACGTATAATATTATTTTAATAAAGAATATGTGGTTTAAAAGAAGAAAGAGAAAAATGCATTTTGAACCACATATATAGCTGTGGGATGATAGTAGATCTGTCATTTAATTGCATTAATTATATATAAAAGTATTTATGTCCAAAGTCGATTGGACCTAGGGCATAATACTTACAAGTCATCCCGTAATTGCAAGTCGTGATCGGAAATAGAAGGTGAGATCTTCCCGTATCACCATATATATAGCTGTGCATACGTGGATGCACTCATATACAGAGTCGTAGATACTCACGCATGCACCGCATAATTACGTAAAGATAATTTTAATGTCAGAGGTGGTCCTACTATAACATTGTTAATCAATCCTATGTTTCTTCAAATTTTCACTTGCTCACTTCCCTATATAAACCAGCCAACCTCATTCCATATCTCAAAAGCAAACTGCCTTTCTCACTGTCTAGTGTCTACCTAGTTAATTCTTAACCTCAAATTACCCAATTATGAAAACAGACGTGGAAAGCCTCTGGGATTTCGCTCTAGCCTACAAATTCAAATCCTTATTTTCCACAAACTTGACATGTTTTGCATTACTCTTGGTCCTAACATGGTTTGCCATAAATTTTATTTTTTGGGCACATCCTGGAGGCCCTGCTTGGGGCAAACACAAATGGAGAAAATTCAGTTCAATCCCAATTAGCAAGCCTATTCCGGGTCCAAAGGGAGCTCCAATTATTGGGAGTATGAAACTCATGATGGGTTTAGCCCATCACAAAATTGCAGCCATGGCTCAATCATTCCAGGCCAAACGTCTAATGGCGTTTAGCCTTGGTGAAACACGAGTAATCGTCACGTGCAATCCCGATGTAGCGAAAGAAATTTTGAACAGTTCTTCGTTCGCTGATCGCCCCGTGAAGGAATCTGCCTACTGTCTTATGTTCAATAGGGCTATTGGGTTTGCTCCCTACGGCGTTTACTGGCGGACACTTAGAAGAATTGCTGCCACCCACCTCTTCTGTCCGAAACAGATTAAGGCTTCGGAAACTCTGAGGTTGGAAATTGCTAATCGGATGGTGGCAATGTTTCGAGCACGAAAGAGTGATTTTCATGTTCGGGATTCATTGAAACTGGCATCTCTTAGTAACATGATGTGCTCTGTATTTGGACGAAAATACAATATGGATTCTTATAATACTAGTGAGATGGACGAATTGAGAGTATTGGTGGATGAAGGATACGAGTTGTTGGGTACACTGAATTGGTCAGATCATCTTCCTTGGTTTGCAGAATTTGACGTGCAGAAAATTCGGTTCAGATGCTTCAAGCTGGTTGCCAGAGTAAACCGATTTCTCCGCCGTATTATTGACGAGCGAAAGGCTGAAACCGCCATGCTCCACTGTGATTTCTTGGATGTCTTACTGTCTCTTCAAGAGCCCGATATATTGTCAGATTCCGACATGCTTGCCGTTCTTTGGGTAAGCAAAACATTCATGTTTTTTATTATAATATCGACTGTCGAACAATATCTATTCTTCTTTATGAAACAAGTTTTACAATAGTTTTTCATTCTTTTATCCCTTGTTGCAGGAAATGATATTTAGAGGAACTGATACTGTGGCAATTTTAATTGAGTGGATATTGGCCAGAATGGTGTTGCACCCGAATGTTCAAGCAAAGGTTCACGATGAATTGGACAAGGTTGTCGGAAGGTCGAGTGTGGTGACGGAGTCGAACATGACGCAAATGGTGTATCTAGCAGCAGTTGTGAAGGAAGTACTGAGATTGCACCCTCCGGGCCCACTTCTCTCATGGGCCCGCTTGGCTAGTAAGGATTCAGTCGTGGATGGGTATCACGTGCCAGCTGGGACCACCGCCATGGTGAATATGTGGGCCATAACTAGGGACCCAGAGGTTTGGAAAGACCCACTGAACTTCAACCCAGATAGGTTTCTGACAAAGAATTGTAGTGCAGAATTTTCAGTAATGGGTTCAGATTTGAGACTCGCACCATTTGGGTCAGGCCGGAGGACTTGCCCGGGTAAGACCTTAGGCCTGACGACGGTCACATTTTGGGTTGCTTCACTTTTACACGAGTTCGAGTTTGAGCATTGTAGTAAAAACCTTGTAGACCTCTCCGAAGTGCTAAGGCTCTCTTGTGAAATGGCTAGCCCACTTAAGGTTAGAGTCCAACCCAGGCATTCCCCCTCGAGCCCACAATGTTACCATCAGCACGTGAGACATACATAGGAGAAAAGCAATTAATATCTCAGACCTAACCCGTTTATGTACATAGGCCTCTGTTTCTCTTGATCGTTGCTTGAAAATTTTCTTTCCCTTTCCTTCTTTTATTTTTATTTTTACTTAACAGCCAGGACTCTTATTTTATTTATGTACATATAATTTGAAAGTAATACAAGTGATATCGACTTCTTCTTACAACTCTTCTTTATCATATATAGGCTCCGTTTGTTTCCCATCAATGTAAGAATGAGAATGAAAAATATAGCTGTTATGGACCTCATACAAGAGATAGAAATTCAAATATAGTGACTTAATGTGATGGATAACGATCATATTTTTTATTTTAATGGCCAAATAATGGAAAATAAAACACGGGCATAAATTCATTTTTTCCAAGGTTGTTCAAGTCATCATTACATCTGCTTAAAAGTCAAAAATAATTTAATCTTTAGCAACTACTTATAATTACGTGACAGCATAAAGGTTTCTTGTACATATATTGCACATTAGTCACTGAACGTTCAACATACTTGCAAGTAGGTTATCAAACTTTAATTTGGTACAATCATGTTACTAAATTTTAATTTATCAGCAATCAGCTCATTTCACTCGGGTTTTGTCTAAGGGTAGGAGACTGCTAGAATTCGTTGGCACGTTTTTAAAAATATTGAAGTACAAATGTGTCAATACATTTCCCTTGTCGAACCCCATGAAAATGTGCAACTTCTGAAAAATGTGTGTACACAACGCACATGATAAAAAATCATTAAAACTCAAAAACCAATTCCAAAATTACATAATCTGATTTTATTTGATAGTCGATAGACAAAATGGGAAAATTTTTAGGGGTTTCTTCCATATCTAGGGTCGAAAAAATTGTAGATGGATTTTTTATCAATAGTAATTCCTGTATCATGTCATGGTTGAGAAAGATCAATCCTTAAAATATCATGGACAAATTTCAGCATCTAAAATTTTTTTATGTGAGAAATTTAAGGTGCTTACTATTATTATTCATAAATCTTTCATTGTTTGCTGCTCACTAAATCAGTGTACAGCAACCCAACATTTTGTGTATTGTGTGTTAGATGTAGGTGTTGGAAGTATTTTACGTATTTTAAAAAAGTTGAATGTTTGATGACCTCTTGTGCAATCAATCATGATAGTTAAAGAAACTTGGAAATTAAGTTGCACATTTAAGGGTGACAAAAAATTCATTAAACTCAATCTTAACGAGTCCCGTCTAATCAGGAACACGAGGTGAGGGCGAGATGGGTAGGGGTGGAATATGGTCACGGCCTATGTCCCATTTCATTTAAAGTCAATTTTAAAATATAAATTTTTTATGACACAATAAGAAAGAGAATTTTAATTATTTCTAAAGGAAGCATGAGTTCGTTCTGTAAATTAAAAAAAAAAAAAAAAAAGATTTTCATCAATTAAAAATATTAAAAAATAAAAGTTATAAGTTATAAAGAATAAATGGGATGGTTCGCCTGCTCCACCCCATCTCGCTCCACTTTAACCAGGTATTAAGATGAGGCTAGAAGATAAAAATATCCGACTGAGCAAAGGACAAAAATGATTGCCTCGATCTCAACTATCTAGCATCTTTGCCACCCCTAGATACATTCGCACTTTTGATTAGCATTTAAGCTAATTCTTGTAGGCTCATTGATGGATCCCAAAGGAAATGAACTGATTGCTTGTAAATTAAGACTCCGTTTGGTACTATTCTTGTAAGAATGAGAATGAAAAATATAGCTGTTACAGAACCCACACAAGAAATGAAAAGTCAAATATGATAATTTGATGTGATAGATAACGGTTATATTTTTTCATTTTTGTGGCAAAAGAATAAGAATCAAATGGGAGCTAAAATAAAGTTATTTGATTGTACCAAATTGAAGTACAATGTACTACTTTCAACTATGGTGGAAGTTCAATAGCCTCTAGTGCAACTAACCCATAATAATATAATGAACCGTTTTGCCCACTTCTAATTTATAAATCTTCAAATGAATTCCTATAGGCCAGCAGTCTCTATTGAACGCCTTGTGGAATGTGGGCTCTGCAAGAGGAACATAGGTACTAAAATTGAGGTCAATATTTGTCAAGAAAAATGATTGACTTTTGTCAAATTTTCCCAACAAACAGGCCAATTGGATTTGTTAAGAATTGTGGTCTAATTCTTTATAAATTTGTTATCTATCTAATGTTTAGCGTGGAATTTTGTTTGCATTCATCGAATTTATTCACCTCTTTTACGTTGTTTTCAAAGTTCTAACTCTTTTACCGCGTGTCTAGATCATCATCTTCCTTCATTACAACCATTTCGAGAGATAACTATGAATTTTTCTCGATTACTTTGAAAATCCATCTTGTGCTTGTGCACGTGCATGATTTATGTCTTTCGAAATTAATCTGATGCCATTTGCGTGGAATGTCAATTAAAAGTTCGTTTTGAGGGCATGATCATGATAAAGACTTCCTACCTACTCCTTTTAATGAAGACACAATGGTGGCTAATTAAGCCCTCTATCTTGGGGTTTGCATTCAATACATACTGCGACCACTGAGGCAAGGTTTAAATGGAAAGAAACAAAATTTGGCAACTTGCGAAACAAGGAACAATCTATAGGCCTCGTTTGGTACCTTTTTTTTTTTTTTTTTTCAAAATGCATTTCTCTCTCTCTTCTTTTCAACCACACATTCTTCATTAAAATAATATTACACGTAAATCAAAAACTTTTCCTTATTTTTCATCCACACATTTTCCATCGATTTACTATTCCAAAATACATTTTTTTTTACATAAAAATGACTCTCAAACATCCTAATAGTTCACAAATCATGATCTTCTTTGTACATTTAAGTGATTGAAGTCCATTTCAATTAGTTAATTTTGTATGTATAACAATATTTATGAATTTTGTTCGGCGGATTAAATTCACTTTTTTTTTAGTTGTTTATTGGAGTACTAGCTGTTTGAATTTTGTATTGAAAATTGGTTGCGACCAATTTTAATGATTATTAAGTGGAATTCGTTATTTGGTGAATAAGAAACGAAGCCAAATGTAAGTCGCTTAATACTTGAAATTGTTGAAAATTTGTATAGAATATTGTGGAATATTTTAGAAAAGAGTTGGATAAAAAGATGTCTTTTCATATGAACGGTTATGACCTTTGGCAAAATTATTTTCCAATAATTATGAATTTCAAGAAATGTGTCACTTGGTATGATTGTGTCTTTTGACCAACATTTCCAATTACTATATATAGACCCATGTATTTGGATTTTATCACTCAAGAAATTCAATTCATAATTTCGTATCATTCCATTCCATGCTTAGATAATTTGCATAAAACTCTTGTATCAAAGTCATGGTTATGGTAGAGGGGGAACTCCGCTTGAGTTCGTTGGTCTAATCCATTGGAAGTGCTCATATGACTCGATGTGGTCGTTGTATCTTGAGAGATGATTGCTGAAAAATCGTTAGCATCGATGCGGGACAAATTCATCTTAAGGACAAAGCGTCCAACACTTGCCTTGGCCAATCACATCACTCACATCTCTCCTTGATTCTTTCTGATTTCTTCCTTCGTATTTGATTTCAGAAAATTAATAACATTCTTTTGATTTCATATAAGTTTGAAATAAAGAATGGAAATGATTGAATCCGTCGTTTCATCTTCCCAAATCTATTTCGGTAAGACGAAACTGCATTTCGATTTTGTGAATATAAATAGTATGTTTTGTGAATATAATATGTACAATATCAGTATAATTTTCCAACACTAACAACATACCATATGTAATAGAAATAAAATTGCCGAGTCTAAAAAAGACAAATGAATTGTCTATTTTATTCATGATCCTTGACATTATACGTAGAGTGAAGTGTCTAGTTGACTCATGGTTTTTCTCCTCCTCATTACTTGGAAGGAGATTTAATAAATTTGGTATGAGTCTCTAAATTTTGAAAGTTAATAGCTTCATCCCAATCTCCTTGGTCATATCCAAAAGCTTCTTCAGTATATCCTCTTTTGCACGGTTTATCCACTCCCATATTACTTCAATCATTTTCAATTAATTATTGAACCGAATTTTTTGAATTGTTTCTCTAAGTCGAAGTCTAGGGTACACTTTTAACTAAGTATACACAATATATCAAAGTTGTGACCTAAGTTTTGATTATATGGCTCTTATCAAAGTAATCATTTCAATATGGAACTTAGCATTCACGGTCATCCACACATCATCTAAAAAATAAATTACTAGATACATAAATAGTTTATTTATGTATTTAAATTAGAATCTTCATGCCACAATTTGGAAACATACTTTAATAAGTGAAACAACTCTACTCTTTCTATAAGTTCAATAAGTAATAATAGATAGGACAAAGGTTCTTCACAAGGTAAAATACTTTCAGCGGGGATCAATCAACATTGTTTTGCTTCCAGCGGCAGGGTGGAGAGTTCGATTCCTGGTGGGGACCTGCGGCCAAAAATATTTGGTATGGAGCAATCACTGTGGAGGAGAGTCTCTTGTGCGCAGAAGTGTACAGGCAATGAGGGGAACCTGTGATCCAGTTGAGACATAACTCGCGATTTACCCCCTCTAAGGTTCTAGGGGCAAGGGTTTTGGGGGTCCAAGATTTAATCTGGTGTAAGTTGGGATACCTGGATATCAAAAAAAAATAATAATAATAAATGGTGGATGTTTGTTAGACCTCTTGTGCAATCAATCATGATATTTAAAGAAACCCTAGAAATAGGTTGCACATTTAGAGGAGACAAAAAAATTGTTAAATTGGGAACAAGAAACGAGTGCGGGATGGGTACGGTGAATATAGTCACAGCCTCGTTACCATTTCATTTAAAGTCCATTTTAAAATATATATTTTTTTTATGACACAATTCAGCTCGTCCCTTTTACACACGAGCTCGGCTCGTGCTTGTGCTTGTCACGAGCTGAGCTTGTGGCTTGTTTGTAACAAGTAGAGCTTCTGCTCGGCTCGTTACTTGAGGGCCGAGCTAAGCCCAAGTCCACAAGCCCGTATTTTTTTACAAAAAAATAGATAAAATATAAACTTGTATATTTTTTAACGTGTACAGTTTTTTTTTAACGAAATTAAGAATATTATCAAAAAAGAAACAAGTTATGATTAATATGGTTTAGTTATATATCACTT